ACACACACACACACACACACACACACACACACACACACACACACACAGTTCTTTGTCCAGAATGAGGTCACCAGTAAACAGTGGAAAAGACAGATATTGGTCTCTGGTATGTGACCCCTGCCCCCGCACCCAATGAAAACCATCCAACCTGGTTTAAAGGTAAACAAACACACATGCTAGTTATCAAAGCAGGGACGTATACATTGCTTGCTAGAATTAAGGCAGTGCATGGGTGAATGATGTAGAAGAAAGTGCTTCCTAAGACAACCTTGGGCTTTGGGTGCCAATGTTCCCATGTTCCCATGTTCCCAAGGTTTGCTTACAGTTCACTAATTACAGTCCTGGTTCTGGCTCACCATTGGCCAGTCTTTGTGAGCCACAGCAATCCCAACACTTAAAAGGATAACCCACCTAAGCAGCACCAGACAGGCACTGGCGAATAAAAGCAGGGGGCAGGGGTTGGGGGTGGGGCGGAGTTGACAGTGGCATCTGCTGGAGACTTCCTAGCCCCAAGCCTCGAAAACTGACCATACACACCCCACTTCCGGCTTTTCCCCACAGGGTTAGGAATGCATGGAGCAACTCAGCTACTGGAATAAATCCCGACGTAACAACAAAAGCAGGAATGTTCGCTAGAAACCGAACACAATGAAAAACACCTTGAGGAGCGGATGTGCAATCTCCCAAGCAGCGCCTGACTGTTCTAGCCGGTTGCCTACTCTACATAGAAACGCTATCCAGGCCACCACTATGGTGACAGTCTCACAGAACCATGTGCTCATCACTCGGGTTAGCCGCCATAGATCTGGTACCAAAGCAGCAGAAGCCACTAACTGGGTCATTCATTTTTGTATTCCTAGAGCACAGAAGACAGTCAGCATGCAATAAATGTGAATGATTCAATAAACCAGTATATGACTGAATAATTTTCCCAGCTGAAGAGTAAGGAGGCCAATTAAGCGGTGAGAACAGAAACAGTCCAGCTGTCCTACCCCGACAGACTCGAAGGAACACTGCAAATCGCATCCAACTACAATTATTTTACACAAAAGGGAGTCTTTATGAGTTCATAAATAAATAGCACAAGGTTGGTCACCGAAATTATGGGATGATGCTCTTTAAACAGGAAACAAGCAGAGGTGTAAAGACCCCGAGCACACAAAGGAACAGGAGCTGAAGGCTACATCTGCTCACCTGTTTACTTCTGAAGGACAGGCTCATCACTCTAGCAGTATGGGGCCGCTGCTCCCAGATGCTCAACCTCACAGCAACCTGCCTGGCTTCAACCCATGGGGACCACAAGATAAACAGCGAGGAGAGCATCAAGACTCACTACCTTGAAAATCCACCTCAGGTGCAGCCTGTGTTTCTGTCCTAACATATTTGCAATTCTATTAGTTTCCTTCTAACACATGAGCTCCGAGGCATTCCAGACCCTACGGAACACGTCTCATACAGTGTACAGAAGAACAACGCTAATATCTGTCTGGAAATAATCTCAATAACAGAGGTTCGAAAGGGGAGGGATAGTTTACTAGTATGTACTACATGACAAGTTTGTTTGTTTGTTTCCCTGACTGAGAGAAAGTAACTTGATACTCCCAGTCTCATCATGTCCGTGATCAGCAAAAAATACGTTGTGAACAATACATCCCCAACACACTTTTTTCCAGGGCTCAAGTGGAAAGCAGCTTGTACACACTGGGCTTGCCCTTGGCCTTGGAGCGCACTGGCCGTGCAGAAACAACCCCTTGAGATGGGCATTCCCCTTTCCACTCTCCAGAAGGCAAAGGAGCAAGCTAAACAATCCAGCACTCACTTGAATGCAAGCCAGGGGAGGGAAGGAATCTCTCCGCCAGTCCAAAGTGTTCAGTGTGCAGTTTTTTAATTACTGCATTTATGATACTATCTATAACATATTCCCCACCACAAATGTTCCAGCAGGTCATTAATCCTCGACAAGTACATTAATGTGCCCCCCTTCCTGCAAATTCTTATTGTGCTGACATGGGGCAAAAATGCTAAGAATTCTCTTCCAAGTAAATACTTTATGTCAACAGCTACCCACGCTACTACTGGTCCTCGCTTAACTATTTCAGGATAGTCTTCCTGTGCAACTATTTGGTGACACTGACCTTAAAGATGAATTTGCAAACAAAATTTCAATAGTGGTTTTGCCCAACAAACATTTTTTTGGGGGGCGTCAGAGGAATAGTGGCATGAGCTACCAAGAAGGTGCTTGTGTTCTTCAAAATAACATATCCTGTTACTCATTAAATCACAATCCACCATCATCCTGGCTGTTAAAACATGGTAAGAATTCTGCTTTTAAAAAAAAAAATCTCAAAGAGTAAGTCATTAAGAATGGTCAAGATTTTCATAATAATTGAAGGGACAACCAGTCTCAGCACTAAATAAATGGGTTTAATTTCAACCACAGAGGATTAATGTTTGTCTCAGAGAATTTGAAGTATGATTAATCATTGTTTGCTAGCACACGGTCATCAATGACACCGCTAATTATTTTGCTGTGTTGGAACATGAGCACAGGCGCTCCAAGGAGAAGGAACACGCCTTCCGTGATCCACAGGAGCTGGCTTTCTCCCGCCATGAGGCACACAGGACAGATTGACAGTCAGAAAGACCACTGAAGCTAAACCGCCAGCTGCAAAGTCTAGCACAAAGAACTAGAGTGAGATGCAAGTTACTGACCCAGGCCTGCAGCCAAAACCACAGAGACGGGCGGGAGATGGACTTCATGTGTGAGCTGCTGGGAAAGGGGCTCTCAGAACCTTTGGGCTTCACAGGGCTTATGTCCTCCAGCCCCAGGCCTGTCTGTGGTCGCTAGGTTCGGAAGGATGCTCTGTTGCCTTTCCTCTTCAGGACACTTCCCGTCACCCTGAAGAGCAACCTGAAGCACTAACCTTCCCTTTCCTTCAACCCAGCATGGTCTTGAAAGCCAAAGTACTGAGTATAAGAGAGCGAAGCTCAACATACCAAGCTACAAACAAGATCTGAAGTGTGCGGGGTGACTGAATACACAAGGCAGTTGAGATGCCTTCTTTGCTTACTTCTTCCTTCTTAGAAAATTCCAGAATTAGTCCTTAAGCGTTTGAAGTCAAGAAGTACAAACACAGCCAAGCCTAACAGAGGCTCTTTGATGTGGCACAACAGAAACACTGGTTCTTCCGTGAGCTACCTCTGGAAATGCAAGGACATACTTGAAACCCAGAGAACTGAGAGCTTTGACACTGGACTAGTGAGAGGCCATGGGGGCTATGAGCCTTGAAGCTGCATCTGTGAAATGGGCTCACAATGCGTCCTCTACACAGCTCTCAGTGAGAGATTAAAACACTAATGAAACTTCATTAAATGACACGGCCCTATGTGGTTCCCACTACCCTGCCAAGACTCTTCTCCAAACAGCAACAGTGATGATTATGATTTTTAGTATTTAGACAGGCTCTCGGGTATCCTAGGCTGGCCTGAGCCAAATATTTTTGATAAACAGTGCTTTTTGGCTAATAAATGATGTGGGATTCCCCTCTGTATGCTGTGAATATCATTGATTAATAAAGGAACTGCCTACAGCAGAGCTATAGGGAAACAGAGCTAAGCAGGGAAAATTAAACAGAATGCTGGGAGAAAGGAGGCAGAGTCAGAGAGAAACCATGTAGCCCCGCCAGAGACAGATGCCGAACTTTAGCCGGTAAGCCACAGCCACGTGGCCATTCACAGATTAATAGAAATGGGTTAAATTTATATATAAGAGTCAGCCAATTAAAAGTTAGAGTTAATGGGTTAAGCAGTGATTTAATTAATACAGTTTCTGTGTGATTATTTCAGGACTAAGTAGCCAGGAACGAAACAAGTGGCCTTCCTCCAATAAATAAATAAAATGTCCCTAACTACTTAAGAAGAAATATAAATATTATATTACTTGCAGATTTGAGCTTTTGTTCTCTAATATGTTTTTCTGGTTGTGCTTCTTCTTTAGTATCTAACTGAAGGTCTTTCTTTCTTGATAAAAACTTCATGGGCGTTTTCTCTCTTTAAGAATAACCCTTGCAGCAACTATTACAGAGCATAGCTGCTACCAGGCAGTGTGTGAAACATCTTCATGTACCCTATCGTAGAGAGTCAGAGGTTCTCATGGTTACAACAGCACTAGAGAAACCAGGAATGTTAAGCTTGCAGGCTTTTCTCTTCAATGGAAAAGATTTACATCTGTTGCAGCCCATAAGGCTGGAAGTGGATTAGGTAATAATCTGGTGATCTTTTGCCATCTGGAGAGCCAGGCTTCACTCAAATCCCCCCAGACTCCTGAGTATTTTTTCTTGGCCAACAGTACCCATTCTTACCAAAGAGGTCTCAAATACTTTGCAAAAGAGTTCACCATTATGGTTTTCCTAGACTCTTATTCTTGGTCAACAGAATCCATTCTTGCCAGGCGGTGGTAGTACACGCCTTTAACCCAGCACTCAGGAGGCAGAGGCAGGTGGCTCTCGGTGAGTTCGAGGCCAGCCTGGTCTACAGAGTGAGTTCTAGGACAGCCAGGACTATGTAGAATCCTACCACACCGAACTCTTCTTGAAAAGTCTTACTTTGTCCTCAGGTAATAGTCTTTTGATGTTAAAACATGAGAAGGGTGTACATCTACCAAAACATACTAAAATTAAGACAAGCAAATCTCTTTAAGAATTGTCAAAAATAAAAAATGAAAAAAACATGTTTAAAATAAAACACAGAAGGAAAGTAAAGTTGTTATTTTAACTTCCAGCAACATCTCTATCATCTATTTTACCATGGCCACTTCCCTTTAAGCTCTGCATTAAATAATCTGATCATTAAATCTGTGAAAACCACAAGGGATGTGCCCATCTCATTAAAAACTGCATGCCTGTGAGCTACGATAATGAGGGAGACTGTCTATTTTGGTTTTAAGGACAGAAGTACTTCCTGCCCGTTGCTTAGTGCAGAGACACTTCTAGGAAGTTCCACCACAAAACAGATGCCCCGGGAGTGAGTCTGTCACGATGGCAACAGGAGTCAGCACACAGGAAGACTTCCTCCCAGCACATCCACAGACTCTCAACCTTGATGGACCAACAGGGAGCACAAGGTGTTCAATGCAGAAGCCACTAGCCCCACCCTATGACGCTGTAGACTTCCTTAAGGAGGTACCAGTTCTCTATCAGAAGCCAGGCCGCGTTGCTCTATACTCAGCTCCTGCAGGAATCAGAGTCTTTAAAACTGGAACGCACTATCCTTAATTAGGGTGTAATCCTTGATGCACCCTAATTAAACACTGCAACAAATTTCCCATTCTTCTTCTATTTTAGAACAGTGTAGAATCTGCATCTCTTTTTTATTCAAATTTGGTTTTTTTACAATTTTGTGAGTACCAAATTTTACTTCATTATCATAGTTTCCTCTCTCTATTCAAACTCTTTCCATGTCTCCCCACTCCGTTTGAATTCATGACCTTTTAAAACTATTAGTGTTACACACATATTGTTACACACATACACACATACACACACACACACACAGAAATAGAGAGAGAGAGAGAGAGAGAGAGAGAGAGAGAGAGAGAGAGAGCCTGCTGCTCAGATGTGTCTCTAAGGATGATGAGGAAAGTTAGATGAAAGAAGATACTTGGTCCTGATCCTGAAGCTGTGTTTATATACCCAGTGATGGAAGCCTTTGACGCCACCGTCTTCTGAATGAATTTTACTGTACTGGTGTACTGTACTCACGCTTCCATGAGTCTATAGAGGTGTTCTTCATGGGAGCCCAGGCCTTGCAGAACACAACGCTGGAGACAGTAGTCCTTAGAAACAATATTTCTTCCAACTTGAGTTTCAACTTCCAACTCAAGTCATCCTATGAGTAGAACGGAGAAAGACTGACCCACCTGGGACGGTGGTTCTGTAAAACCCTAAGGTAAAGAAGCCATATTCTAAAATGTTGGAAAACTGACGCTTGTGACATTATTCATATGGCTGGGTTTCACGACAGACTTGATTTTGTAGCATTAACCAACTTTCTCCCCATTACATATACACCACCTTAGTCAGGAGGCCAGCACTCGGTTCATTCTGAAAGTGAGAGTGACCTCCTCTGAATAAACCTGAAGGAGGAGACTAACCACAAGAACCCTTCCTCAATGGGCCAGACAGTCACGTGCCAAAGAAGTGGTGAACCTCAAAAGCTGATTTCAGTTACATGTGGCAGATTACAATCATGCACGCATCTCCAGCTCCTCATAAATGCCGTAAAGTCAGGGCCAAAAATAAACACAAAAGGTGTCAAAGAATGAAAGAAGACAAAAGAAGTGGAAATAATTTTGAAGACAAAGTAAACAAACAGGCCCTTGATGAGTGACTCCTCAAAGTACCAACAGAGAAAAATTAAACATCTACCATCAGAGCCGTCGAGAGGTTGGGCACAGACCCAATATCAAGGTGCAGCTACACCAGAAATGGGTGCTGTAAGAGGAGGGAAGATGTGGTGGCTATGTAAACTGGAGAGTCACTGCAAACCATCTAATGACAGAGTTTCAATACCTTTCCCTAATCATGAAGATGCTAATTCCCTTCTCTACCCTCCATAGTATTCAAAGGACCACCTCACAGGAGACCTACAACCCGTGAAGATGATGACATCATCAAGATAAGCCCCCAGTACACAGAGGACCACCTCACAGGTGACCCAGATCCCATGAAGGTGATGACATCATCAAGATACCCCGCCTCGCAGTACACAGAGGACCCATTCACAGGCGACATAGACTCTGTGAAGGTGATGACATCATCAAGTTAACCCCCTGCAGTACACCAGAGGACCACCTCACAGGTGACCTAGATCCCATGAAGATGACAATTAAAACTGACCACCACAACTTGTAAAAAAAAAAAAAAAACAAAAAAGAAATTTCAATATAAACCTATCAATTTGTTATTTGGAAGCTAATAACTGAAGAACTAAATGAATTTAAAGTAGTCGTACTATTGAAATGATAATGCAGATAAACGGAGCAGGAACCTGCACGCTATCTATCTGTATTTACTGCAACTTGAAAATGGAATTCTAGGGGTTTGCTCTGCAAGCATAAGGACCCAAGTTCAGGTCTCCAGCCAGGCATGGCAGTGTCTATAACCCTGGTGCTGGGGAGTTGAGGGGTAGACGGAGACAGGAAGACAGCTGTGGCATGGGAGCCTCCTGTACAGCTGATAAAATACAAGCTCTAGGTTCAGTGAGAGACCCAGGCGCCAAGGAAATAAAGCAGAGAGAAAGGACACTTGATGTCCTCTGCTGGTTTCTGTGCATTCAGTGGCATGTACACACCCACACATGTATGTAACACACACACACACACACACACACACACACACTTTTTAAAAGAGTGGAAATAAATCAATGAAGTACATAAAACCACCCAAGTATAAAAGACAAACTAATGGGAAAGTTCAACGTCTAGTTTATAAACAAGGAAACAGATAAATCTTAATTAGCTCCTTCTGGGTAATCAAACTGCTAAGCCAATTTAATTTATTTCATTTTATTACTTTGGGGAACACGGTGAGAAGTCAAACATAACCAGTCTCCACGGCTGTAGTTTTTGTCAGTTAGCAGAGAGCAGAAGCAGCAGGGGCCCTTGGACACCAGAGCACCAGGAAGAGTGAGGTAGCCTGGCAAGTCAGTTCACAGTGGGTAAGGACACTTGCCACCAAGTCTGATGTCCTCAGTTCAACCCCTAAAACCTACTTAATAGAGAACTGATTCCGACAAGCTCCTCTGACCTCCACATATGCAACATATAGTCTGTGGGCACCCACATACACACATGAGTAAAAACTAATATGGTTTTTAAAAAAGCTAACCATCTTTGTTGTCATAAGCCCACCCATATCGTTCCAGGTGGATGTGCATCTTAACTGCTACCCACTTCCTCTTCTACCAACCCTACTGTGAGTCTGTCTGGTGGGCAAGGAAGAGAATGTACAGCATTGGAACCCCATTCCTATATGTAGGGAATTTCTCATTATGTGAATTTCTGCTAAGAGATTCCCTTTCCAACATAAAAATAGCCAGATACTCATCTTCCCAGAGTCCTGCGCAACTCAAGCATAAGCGCATGACTCAGCCTTACACCAACCAGGAACTTAGAGCCACAGATGTGAAGAGGATGGGTTACCTGGAAGGATCTGTCATGACGTGAGCAACAGCAACACCCTGCCCAGGGGCATCAAGGGCTGAAGGGACAGGGATGGCCTTGGGTGTCTGGTCCATGTAGGGCTGTCACTAGAAACACCAACATCTAGTGTTCAGTGGTGCTGACCCTACAGAGAACTAACCCTAACGTACAGATTTGGCTATTAGCTGGCTGAATAGTCTTCTAATCCAGAGCCTGCCCGGTGTGTCAGTACATTTCCTCTCTCTGCAATCCGCCCTGCAAACACAGACAGTGGCAATGGTCTGAAGGGAAGGATGAAACGTCTGTGTTCTTATAATTCCAGAGCAGAAGAGATGACCCAGGGGAAAGTTCATGTTTAATACACAAGTGAAACTTGCTCCTGGCATGCTGTACGGTAAGGCTGTTCTTCATTGGCTCTCCTATTCTTGGCCTTCTTCTCCTCCGTCATCACCACATTCCAGGTTCTAACCCTCTAACTGACTGTACCAGATGCACTCTAATTGGCATCCAATGGGAACAGTCACTGCTCCCTGCTGGCCGGGCCTTCACACTCGTGAATCCAGTTGTGAAGGGCAGAGGAGCGGTGGGTGAGGAGGTGCAATTTTCTTTTCTTTTCTGCTTAGCCTCGGTTTTCTATGAAATGAGGCAGTCTGGATCGAGTGGTCAAGAACTGCACTTGACAATGAAAACTGCAAACCAAGGCATCCCGAGATTTATTCTCAGCTGAAAAGCTGAGGCATCCATCTGCACAGGGCACAGCAGCATCTTCAGCTCCGAGCTGAGGATGCTGAACCCAGGCAATTTATCTGCACATGTCTTAGGCTAACCACATACAGACTGCAGACCAAGCTAGACGCAAAGAGAGATATCTTAGAATAAACTGTTGATGGGACCAAAAGGGCTGCATAAAAAGAGTCAGATGCCATCATAACATTAATAGAAATGAGGACGCAGTGAAAGACAATGTCGCGGTGTGGTAACCATTTGTCTCTGGAAACTGACAAAGAACAGCTCAGTTCTGCAGGCTGTACTACACCACACACATTCTATAAAGACAGTTTATAGAATAAATGAGAAATTTGGTGAATACATCCAAGTTTCTTTACAGGAGTGTTTTCCAGAAAGATTTGCCAAGAAATCAATCTCTCAGTCACAGCAGTCAGGCTAAAAAATCATTCTCGGGGCGGGGAGGGCAATTTCATTTTGGATGGTGATGTAAATCCTACTTCAAATGCCATCAACTGCCAGGCCACATTTGTTATATATTCCCTGTGCTGTGAATTCCCTTGAAATGGTCACTAGACAGTTTCACTCCCCAACTGCCCAAATGAGTTAATGCCGTACCCCATTATGTTTGTGTATGCATATGTGTGTGTGTGTGTGTGTGTGTGTGTGTGTGTGCGTGCGTGCGCGCATGTGTATGCTTGTGTGTTTGTGCATGTGTGGGCATGTGTGTGGAGACTAGAAGTCAGTGCCAGTGTCCTCCGAGACAACCAATTTGTGGAGACTAGGCCTCTCCCAACAGCTGGAGCACAGTGACTGGGTTCACTGGCTGGCCCGCTTTGGGAATGCTCTAGTCCCCTCCAGCTACAGACACTGCTGCTACAGCAGGCCCTGTGTGGGTATTCGGGATCCAGATGCGGCCATCAGACTTGCGCAGCAGTCACCTCACCAGCTGAGCCTTCTCTCCCCAGCTCCCCTGCATGTTGAGTATATAAAGTAGAGGGTTTCATTATGGCTTTTTCATATACACCTATTGTTGAACATCCTCTACTACTGTCCCATGCCCTTGGCACCCTCCCACCCAGAGTAATTGTCTTTCCTTCTTCCTGTTGCCTGTGCTGTATCACCCCACCCCACATCCTCAAAACTTCTTCTTCACTGGCAGTCCCCATTTTAGCCTCATGACCAGGAGCCACAGTCACATCATCATATGTAAAAATTAAAATCAAAGATCCACATATGAGAGAAGGCAGTAGGTGTCTTTCTCAGTCCAATCATTTCTAGGTCCATTGTCCTGTAAATGTTCTTTGTGGCTTGATCAAATTCCAGTATGTATACATTCCAACACTCATCGTCACCAGGACTCTACAGTGATTCTGCTTCCGCGCTATCATGAATAGGGCCACAACAACCACAGACGTTCAACTATCTCTGTGAAAGGACATGCAGTCCTTTAACTATGTGCCCAGGGTCGAACAGCTGGGTCATATGTTACCTCTATTTTTAATTTTTTTCTGAGGAACCTCCATACTGATCTCTATAGTTGGCACCACACCAATTTACTCTCACCAAAGCTGGATGAAAACCTAGCATTCTCTACGTCCTCAGCAACGTACATCGTTTTGTTTATTTTGTTTTCTGATGACAGTTTTCTAACTGGGGTGAGAGAGAATACGGGACTCATTTTGAAGCCTTTCCATTTCCAAATTTACTGTACAGGAAGAACATTATATGGATTACCTTTTATAAACACATGCATAAAGATATCTAAGTATGTATGTATGTATGTATATATGTATGTATGTATGGGGACTAACCCCAGGACTTTGTGCATGGAAAGCATACACTGTATTACTGAATCATACCTCCAGTCTGTCTATAAATATCAATGCCTCAACAAAATAGTAGGCCAACTTCAATAGTATTTTTTTATAGACTATAAACAGCACGATAGGTTAATTTC